CTTTTCATATATATGTGGTCCTAACTCCCAGCTTAGCCTTAGGGTTAGTGACAGTCTTTAGATATACTAGGTACTCAAATGTTTGTTGATTAAGAAATTAAGTGTCGGGGCGCCTGGGTGCCTCAGTGGTTAAAGCCTCTGCCTTCGGCTCAGGTCATGATCCCAGAGTCCTGGGATCGAGCCCCGCATCGGGCTCTCTGCTCGGCAGGGAGCCTGCCTCTTCCTCCTCTCTCTCTGCCTGCCTCTCTGCCTACATGTGATCTGTCAAATAAATAAATAAAAATCTTTAAAAAAAGAAAGAAAGAAAGAAAGAAAGAAATTGTCATTTTCAGCCTTCCAAAATAGTGACTGATAAGATATCTCACAACTGAAAAGGACACTTGAGAAATCTAATAAAGAAACGTAATTAAGACAATAAACAAACAAAAGATTATAGGAAAGCCCCATTCTATTGTAGGAAGATTTAAGGATTAAAGATTAAAAAACAAAACAAAACAAAAACAAAAACACAAACACATTTGGGACACAAGGTCATCAAAGATTGGATTCTTAAGTCCGAAGATTATTTTAGTTCCTGATAGAACTCCAAGGTGATAGAAGATAAAAAATATTTGGAATATTCAAATTTTCTACTTTAAATGTCAAGAATAGCAATAAGCAAATAAAGCCAATCAAATTTTAGAGAACAGAAAATATATTTCCACTCATGTTTAGTTACTGATGTTAGATGTGGAAACAGTTTTAGTGTCAACCTATTAGATGACATAGTTTTTTATAGTGAAAACACTATTATAGAGATCTTCAACATGAAGCTCACCATGTGTGCATTGTAACTTGTGAATATTGTAAAGATATTTTTGTAATAATGTTGATTAAAGAGTCTTTCCATAGTAACTTCTAGATTTTTAAGCTTCTTGGAGGCAACTGATATATCCCAACAATTTTTGTCTTCTTCATGCACTTGTTACATGTTAGGTAATTAATTGGGGTAAGATGTACCCAAAAGGTCTGAGGCAGGAGTGTGAGAGAGACAAGGAAGGGGTATGGTGGGTAGCATGGTTGTCTCCAGAGGCATCTCCTCGAATGGACCCGGTTCTGCCTGTGTGGGACCAATTGCTTATTACTCTGAAGCGCCAACTATCTCTCCTCTGAAGTCTGGGTATTCACATCTACCCAAAATGTTTGCTGGAAGGATCAAAAGAATATAGATAAGCGGTTTGCACAGTTTCTGGTGAAGAACTACTTAATACTTTTTTGAACATATTTTTAATGAGTGCCTACATGTACTGCTCTGTTCCAGGTGTTGGGAATGCCACATAGAACAAAATAAAGCCCTTGCTCTTCTGGAGTTTACATTGTAGGGGGAGGGGAGAGGCAAATTTTCCCATAGAACATGTCTGGTAGAAATAAATGTTATAAAAAGAATTAAAACGGTGGGAGTGGAAGCAGATAGAATATAGAGGGAGCGTATGTGTACTTGGCATGTGTTATACAGGATGGTAAGGGGAACCTTCTCTGATAAGACCTGAGAAAGCGTGGGAGGCAGGCTTACAGATGCGAGAGGAATGCTCTGCAAAGGGAGGATACACCAGGTGCAAAATCCTGGAGCGGAAAGCATGCCTGGCCTGTTTAAAGATGGGAAGGGGTTCTGGAGGGAGAGCTCAGTGTGCTGGGGGAAGAGAAGAAATAAGGGCTGTGAGGCAGCAGGGTCCAGATCATGTGGGGTCTTGAAGGACTTCATAAGGTCTTTGGGTTTTTCATCTGAGAGGAGAAACACAGAAGAACTGTGAGCAGAGAAGTGATCTATGTATATCTGAAAAGGCAATACATAGGAGCTATTATAAATGCTATAGCCACATGAGATTTAATACGTGGGACATGAATATTGATTATTCTTTAACTCTGATCTGGTTTACCAGAAGATGGCTTACCAGAAGAATCAGGTGAGCCATATGAAATTGCAATTTCTATCCATCAACAATGGTGGAACATCATTAAAAGTTTCAACCTGACTTACTGGATAGGGTTAGTAAAGGGGTTTAGAACATAGGCTTTAGGATAAAATGTAAGTGGAAGTGAATCCCTGATCCAGGACTCATGAGCTTGGCAAACGTCACTTAACCTCTTTCTCCTTGTGTTTTCCCTTACATAAAACAGGGATAATAGCACACATAAATTACAAGGTTGCCTTGAAAATTAAATGAGATATACATGTAAAGGATTTAGCACAGGCCTGGGAGCTTACTAAATAAGGAAACTGATTAAGAAGGGGGAATGAAATCTTTTACACTATCAAATTACTTGAATAGCTTAGTCCTCTTTAAAATACCTATCATTTTGCTACATACTGAAGTAGCATAGGCTAGTTTCTTTTTTTTTTTTTAAAAGATTTCATTTATTTACTTGACAGAGAGAGATCACAAGTAGAGAGAGAGAGAGGGAAGCAGGCTCCCTGCTGAGCAGAGAGCCCCACGTGGGACTCGATCCCAGAACCCTGGGATCATGACCTGAGTTGAAGGCAGCGGCTTAACCCACTGAGTCACCCAGGCGCCCCCATAGGTTAGTTTCTAAAGAGGCAACAGGTTTATTTTTAATCAAAATACTCGTTTCCTGAATTTACAAAATTCTTCCTTTAAATTGATAATTGAGTAGGCGAATATTCTATGGCAATGGAAGTAGGAGAACTTAAAATATTTTAGAGTTAAATATTTTCAATTTCAACTTTGTCTGCAGGGCAATTCCATTTCCTCTACCAAAGTAGCTTAAATTTAGAAACAATGTTCCTTAAATGAACAGGACAGAAGCTACTTGCTACTCAGAGAGTGTTTGTTTGAAATTCAGCTAGTTTCAATACAACTCAAACTTAAGTGTTCCTCAGAATTTGTATGAAGTTAAAATTTTACCAAAAACCCCCCATGTAAGTTCTTCCCAGTTAAAACAGAGTAGACATGATTAACAGATTTCAGCCACTGTAGCTCTCACCACGGTCAGTTTGATGTTAGATTTCGTCTACATTAATTGAACAGGTCATAATAGGCTTGCAGAAGAATGTAGATGCAGATTTTGCGACTGACATTCTATAAACTAAAGAGAACTACACTGTTGCAGTTCAGAAATCTTTCCCAAACAAACCTAAATATTTGAAATCCATCATACCACAAGGAAAACCCTCCTGCCCACTGTATCATTTTTTACAAGTGGGCAAATGTGAATGTTGACTTCCAGCTTTCGAACTAGGTACATGATCTTATTTATTGCGGCTGCATTTCAAAACCGCATGCTGATGCCATCACGGAGTGCAACATCATCCCCCTTTCACGTCTTCCTCCGTATTTCGTACAGCTTGGAGCCTGCTCCGAACTGCAGCCTAGTCTTAGAATAACGGACGCTGCACCACGGCAGACCCTGTCCCTAGAGGCGCGCCCCACCACTGGGCCAGGTACTGCACAGGTAGTGGCGATGCCGTCGGAGCGACGAGGGGCGCCCACGCGGAACCCACAGCGCGTCAGGCTCCTTCCCGCGGCGGTGGCTCTCGAGGCCGGAGGACCGCGGGGACGCCGGCGGGGGGGGGGGGGTCGTCGTGCGGTGCCACCAACGACAGAGCAGTAATCTGAGCCCCCCGAAAACGCGTCCTATAGGGGAGAACTCGACACCAGGGAGCGAAGACTCCGCAGCTTCTAGCCGCCACACCGCCATTTGGGGGGTCCGACGGCCAGGCCGTTCCACCCCTCCCCCTACGGCGCGCCCCCGCACCAGCCCGCGCCCAGGCCCCGGCCCGCCCCACGCAGGCGCGTGGCAGGCCCTGCCCCTCCCCCTTCGCTCGCGGGGCCCCGGTAGGGGCGGAGCGACCCTCGGAAGGGGCGTGGCCGCCGGACTCGACGCGCGCACGCGCTCTCAGGCCTTACGGCTACGTGTCGGGCCACGTGATGCCCGCCCCGAAAGTCCCCCGTGAAGCAACAGGACGTTAAAAAAAATTCTTTTCTTTGGGGTGGGGGGGTGAGAACGGACGAGAGGGTTTTTTAAAAAAAAAAACTATAGTAACGCAGGAGAGGCCGTGCGGTGGCGAGCGCAGCCCTGGCGCGGCCCGCTGGCAATCCCTCTCACCTAACGCCACAGCCCGACCGCGCCCGCCAGACGAGCCGGCCCGGCGGCGGGGAGCGCGAAGCGGCGCGGCCCTCGCCCCCGCCCCAGTCGAAAGCACCGCCACCCGGCGCCCTCCCCCACCCGGCCGTCGACCCCCTCTACCCGGCCGTCGACCCCGCACCCGTTCCTCCCGCCACTGTCGCCCGCCTCGGCGGAGACCCCAGCCCGGCGCCCAGGCCGGGCTCGCCGTGCGCCGCCTCCATCACGCACCCCGCCGGAGGGAGACGTCGCGGCGGCGGCGGCCGCGGCGGCGCCCGGGCCGGGGGCTGCGGGGGGCGGCGGCGGGAGGAGGAGCGCGCCGGCCGGGCCCCGCTAACGGCCGCCCTGCGCGGCCCCGCCCGCCGCCCGCCCCCGGCCCTCCCCGCGCCGCCGCCCCTCCCCCCGCGCCGCCGCCGCCGCTGGCAGCGCCGCCTGAACTGAGGCGAACTCCGCCGCCAAGTGAGTGAGGAGGAGGAGGAGGAGGAGGCGAGGAGGAGGAGGAAGAGGAGGAGCGGAGTCAGAGCGCGGCGGCAGCGGCAGAGGCGGCCGCGGCGGGGACCAGCCCAGAGAGACCCCGAGCCCGCGGCAGAAGCGGCGGCGGCGGCTGAGCGGGCGCGACCAGCCGAGCGAGCGGCGGCGGCCCGGCTACTCCTCGTCCGGCGCCGAGCGGCCCGCGCCCGCACTCGGCCCGCGGAGACCCGCCTCCCGCCCGCCGGCCTCGTGAGGGACGCGCCGAGCCGGCGGCCGAGGAGCGGCGGCGGGCCGGGAGCGCGTCGGGCCGCGGGAGGAAAGTGCCTGCGGGGGCGGGGAGAGCGCGGCGAGCGCGCGGTCCGGCCGCCCCGGCGCCCGGCGCGGGAGCGGAGCGGAGCGGGACGCCGAGTCCCGAGCGGCCGGCGGCCGGGGCTCCCCGCCCCTCCCTCCTCTCCGGCGGCGGCGGCGGCGGCGGCGGCGGGCGGAGTGAGCTGCGGAGCCTGGAATATGGTCGGGGAAATGGAAACGAAGGAGAAGCCGAAGCCCACCCCAGATTACCTGATGCAGCTGATGAACGACAAGAAGCTCATGAGCAGCCTGCCCAACTTCTGCGGGATCTTCAACCACCTCGAGCGGCTGCTGGACGAAGGTGAGTCGCCTCGTCGGCCCCTCGCGGCCCGCGCCCGGGCGGCGGCCCCTCTTCCCGGGACCCGACGCCCGCCAGCGTGTTGGGAGGGCGGGAAGGTCGCGGCCGGCGGGGACCGTGCGCTCGGGGACGGAGAGGCCCGGGCGGGGCGCATGGAGGCGGCGCCGAGGCCGGGCTCGCGGGGCGCGGCGGCGGGCGGGTCGGGGCCGCGGGCGCTGGCGGGACGCGCCGGCGGGACGCTCGCCCCCCCCCCCCCGCCCCCGAGACCCCGGACCCGAGACCCCGGGCCTCGCGCGGCCGGCGCCCAAGTTGGTGCGCCGGGGAAGGCTGCAGGGCGAGCCCTCTCGCGTCCCCGGCTTCCAGCCGCGCCTGCGAGCACCGCGACGGCCGGGAGCTTCGCGGGCCTGCCCGAGAGGATCCCGGCCTCGCCCGCCCCGCGCCCCGCGGGCGCCTGAAGGACATCGGCCCCGGGGCGCTCCCGGAGGGGTCTCTCCCAGAGGACGCCGCTGGTTCCCAAAGTGGAGGATCCAGCGGGGCTTTTGCTTTTTTGGAGTTTGTGCAGCTCGCAGACGCTGGAGGGGAGTAGCGTGGGGCTTGGTAATTTAAAGGAATTCCATAGGAGAGCGAAAGTGGTGCTGATTTAGCCGAAGGCGAGGACACAATGACAGCAGAAAGCACTTTTTGTCCTTTTGTTTGGGGAAGCGAGAACTGTTCGGGAGTTTAACTCCACTTTGGGCGGGGGGGGTGTGAATACGAAATACCGCGAGGACGAATGTAAACGTAGTCCCGACTGGGAGAGAACTTCGGCGGAGAGCTGGTGCCCGAGGACGCCGCTGCCTGCCTTTGCAGCGCAGGAGACGAAGACGTGTGCAAGGGCGAGAATGAAAGCCAGTAAAAGTTTCAAAAACGCTTCGTTGGTGGGGAGCTGAGGGTTGCGAAGAATGACAAGAAGATGAATTTTGGCCAACTCCGGAATTTCTTTAACAAGTTCTGGTGGCGTGGCTCTGGATTATTGAATTCTAGGAGCTGTGCATTTCTGCGAACGCCTGGAGAGGGAAAAATGACCAACAAAAAAGTCTGTTTTGAAAATCGAGTAGCCAGGAGTTTTCTCTTGGAAGCGATACCGGAGGACTTAAAAGGAAGCTGAAAACTGTCTTACAGAATTGACCAGTGGATTTTAGATTTTTCACAGGAATTTCGAAATCTTTCCTATAGAACTAGGGATAAGGTATCTGAAGCATAGAGAGTTGGAATGTCACTAAAGAACAAAAGACTGGAAATGTCTCGTGATTAAAGATGGTTAAAGAAGAATCCCAGGAGTTTTTGTTGTCCAGAAAGTCATAGAAACAACTTTAAAAGTACGAAATTGTTAGGTATTACTGCGTCCTGGCTTTTGCTTACATATGTTAAACATAACAGCAGTAACCCTTACTGGAATGTGCTTTTTCCACTGTTGAAACAGCAAATCTGTTTATTTCATATTGCTCCAGAAAAAACTTGAGCTGTCCCTTTAAGGGGTTCTGCTTTTTCTATTTGTGTTGGCATTTGAAAGATTGTGGAGGCAGAAAACTTTCTGGAATGTCAAAAAAAAAAAAAAATTGCTGGGACTCTTAAATTGAGTATTTCCAAATGTGAGCGCTAAGGGGCGCCAGGTATTTTTTTTTTAAACGTGAGAAATGTTTGGAGCAAAATGTGTATAACGTACTCAATAATCGGATCTGTATTAAATTTAGTTGAAATTTAAATCACAATAAATCATTTTGTGTGTCATTTTGTGGAGTTATATTTATAATACATAATGTATTTGCAAACACTGAGAACACATTCTTTAAAATTATAGAAACAATTTTACATTTCAAAAATGATATGCTTTTTCTGCCTTGGGATATTTTGGTAAAATTAAAAGTTTTAGTAGTATTTCTACGAATTTCTTTCAAGGTTTTTTTTAAGTACAGTTATTTAGAAGAAATCTTTCATAGACATTAAAATGAAAATGGTCTCACAGTATTTAGGGTTAAAGTTGCCTTCTTTAAATTAAAATGTTGAGTTTAATCAAATGACATAGGAGATTATAAAAAAATTGGAAGTATTTTCTCTTTATGCGTATTTTGTTTAAAAACATACATAATTTGAGTTTCTCTGATTAGTTCTGAAAGGCTTCTCACTTCACTTTTATGTTGATCTAAAATCTCTAAATGATAATTTGGAGTTGTTCTCTGTTAAAGTTTCTAATGTTGGCTTCAGTAATTTGTAATCTTCCAAGTCTAGAATTTCACTTATGTCATTATCTCTTAACAAAGGTTTTTTGTTGATTCCTCTGTAGTTGGAAATTATAACCATCTGCATTTTAAAACTTGGAGATCACTAGCTGAGGATGATACATTCTAAATGATTTTTTTTCTTTTATTGTGGTTTACTCCATCCCTTATCTTGGTCTATCTTGAATTTTAGCCTTTTCAACTCTCCAGCCTAAGTAAAGATTGCTTCTTTGTGGTAGCTGGGATGTTTAAAATGGACAGCATAATGACTAGGAAGTTTTTTTTTTTTTTTTTTTTTTTTAATCAGACCAGTACAAACACACAGGAAAAGGGGCTATTCCTTACTGTGGAATAAGCTGCTTCCTCTAATTGTTAGACTTATTATAAACTTAATTTAACTTAAGAAAAATACGTTTTTTGAAATGCATCGCTTTTTTGGGGGCCAGATTTTATTCTGAAAATTTGGCAACTTGCTTTGCCCCTTTGTGGCCTGTCATTGTCCAAAACAAATTAATCATGACTTCTTTTTGTGATTAGGAATTACATTTTTCCTCTTCCATATGATTGGTGGAAAAATTTCTTCAATTTAGGTAAAGCTGTAAGTTTTATGTTGATAATTAAACCAAGTTAAGGTACTGGACTTAGAGTAGATGTATTATCTCATAATTAGAAATTTTGAATGATTATTTCAGGATCCTATTAAATATTTTTTAGAGTAGATTTCAGAAAATTTGCTTGTCTGAGAACTTTTATTTGGCTAGTTACAAATTTGGGATTTACGTGTGCTCTATTTTCTTAGTTGATTAAAACTTGAATGCTTTAGTTTGAGCATTTTAATTCCATGCCAAGTTAATCTTTAGCCTATATTTTGACTATGGACTTTCTTTTTGGTTTTTGGATTTATTTTTTTGTCTGGGGTAGGGAGGAGGTGTAGGAATTGTCAGACTTTCCTCTAAGTGTCTTCACAGTGCTTTTAAGTTGTTAGTGCTTTCTGGGTTGAACCACTCACATAAAGGGAGTAATTTCAGTTGTTTTTAATACTTTAAGAATCTTTTGTTGGAGATAGTAGATGATTACACATAAAACTGGGGTTTTAAAGTCTTAAACTGTTTTCTGGAGAGAAGTTTCCAAACTGAAAACTGGGACCATCCATGGGAAAGAGCAGTTACCACAAGTTTTTAATTTAAAAAAAAAAAACAAACTTCCTTTGTCATGAAAATGAAAGTCATGCAACAACAGTACTTGAATGCAAAATCTGTTTTTATAAAGTATTGCAATTGGAATTGAGAAGGCCAGAAATGAAATTAGTTAGACTAAAAATTCCAGATGGGGGGAAGGGAAGAACTAGGGATTTTAAAATCAGGTTTTGAGTTTTCATTTTTTAGGCAGAGGGAGGTTAAAGCTGCTATGGGAAAATTAAAAATGCATGGTATGTATTATAAGTAAGGCTAGCCTAAATCTTTTGTAAGTATTTGAAAAATTAGTGTGTGGTTCAGAAAAAGTGAGCAAACATGTTAAAGACTACATTCTGCATTTCTTTATTTGAAAATGCATTTTCATTTTCTCATGGTCTTTTGGGGGGGTTAATAAATTTCCTTTCTGACCTCAGTTTTATCTCCCTCCTTTAAAAATGTGGGCAAAAAAATATTTTAAATGAAAACTTGCTTCACTTGTTAACATTTTTCCGTATTAATGTTTATTTCCGTTTATTCATTCAATATTGAAAATATTTTATGCCTTTGGTTTTCTTAAACTTCAAAATTTTTTTGCAGAGGAGAAACCTTGTCTACAGAAAACTTTGTTTCAAAAATTAATATGGTTATTTGTTGGTATTAAGAGAACTTGCTATATGAGTTTATTAAAATTTTAATGTTTTTTTCTGGAGCATTGTTGACAGTAATCAGTCTCTTTAACAAACAGATTTTATTTACTTAAGTTGAAGTAATTAATCTCTTCTTTAGGAAGAAAAATTTTGCAGTTGTACAGTAGTCCTTTGAGTTAATAGTGATGAGAGAAGGACGTGGTATTTATAATTAGTTGTCCTTCCATTATTTTTCTTCTCACCCAGGGGGTGTGACCAGCTCTGTAAGGTAATAATGGAAATAACTTGTATCCTAGGTCATTTATCCAACATTCATTCTGTACTTCTGAAGCTTAACTCCCTTTAGGCAGAATATATATTCAGAATACATGTACATTCAGTGAGGCAGAAGGTGATTCTTTTTTCTTAACTTTATTCAATTTACATGTTTCGTAGTAAAGGCTGTACTCCCAAGGATAAAATGTAATTGAATTAATAGAAATAGGTCTCTTTGCTAATCGCACTTGCTTGTGTGTTTGTATGAGCACCTTTTCTTAAGTGGCTTTGAGAATATAAAGTGAAAAGTTAATTTGGGTTTTTAATGTTTTGTACACATTATATATCTGTTATTATCCCCTCACTTGTCACTGTCCTGAAGCTGATTGGAAAGTGCCTCAGTTTTTCATAAGAAAAAAATGGTGTTTTGTTTACTTTTTTTTTTTTTTTTTTAAAGATTTTATCCATTTATTTGACAGAGATCACAGGTAGGCAGAGAGGCAGGCAGAGAGAGAGAGAGAGGAGGAAGCAGGCTCCCTGCAGGCAGAGAGCCCGATGTGGGGCTTGATCCCAGGACCCTGAGATCATGACCTGAGCTGAAAGCAGAGGCTTTAACCCACTGAGCCACCCAGGCGCCCGTTTTGTTTACTTTTTAAAGGAACTAGATT